ATTATAAACTAACTAAGTGCATAGTTATGATGAGCAAGAGTGCCTCTACCAAAATTGTGAATTTTATGGCCCCAGGGTCAGGGGTTCTGGTGTTAGGGCGGGGCTCTATTGATTATATAGTGAAAATATATTATTTCTTTAAAAATCTTCTTCTCTGCTCCTAGATATTAAATAGGCTAAGTAAGTGCATAGTTATGATGAGCAAGAGTGCCTCTTCCAAAATTTTGAATTTTATGGCCCCAGGGTCAGGGGTTCTGGCCTGGGGGCCATAAAACTTAGATGAGCTTACTTTTGATCTCAGTCTCACTTTTCTTCTATTAATTCCTTTGAAAATAGTGAGACTGAGATCAAAAGTGAGCTCGTCTAAGTTTTATGGCCCCCAGGCCTGGTGTTAGGGCAGGGCTCTATTGATTATATAGTGGAAATACATGAAATCTTTGAAAATTTTCTTCTCTGCTCCTGGGTATTTTTAAAGCAGATGAACTAACTATATAGTTATGAGCAAGGGCCTTTATCTTCCAGAAATGTGAATTTCAAGGCCCCAGGGTCAGGGGTACCATAGAGGGGGGCTGTACTTGTATACTGAAAACGAATGAATTGTTTGAAATCTGCTCCTTGGTATTAATCAAATATTTTTGAAAAGCAAGGATGCCTTTTCAAAAATTGTGCAATGTGTGGATCTCGGCCTAAGGGTCAGGGGTTCATGTGTGGTAGGGGCTTTACTGATTATTGCTGAATACTACTGATTAGTTGAAATGCATTTTTTGTTCCCCTATCCTGCCTATGGGTATTAAATAACCAAACTAAGCAACTGCTAAATGTATAGTCATAATGATCAATGGCATCGTCTCAAGCCACGGTCCGGAGTCCGCGTATAGCTCTCTCCTACCCGCGGCTGCTTGATCACAAAAAGTGTCATAATCTTGAATATTTACGCCTCTCTATTGTGACATCATATTCAGTCATTGGCAAGTTTTGTTTCCATCGCAATCGAAATCAACAACTGACGTCAACAGTATACAAGAAATATTTCCTATACTGCGATTGGATATTGAAAGGTCGCGATAAAGTTCATCATCCGACTATGCTTTACTCGCATTGGTCAATGTTTTAATGAGCTACGAAGAAGTCTCTCCTCGTTCAACCACGGCCAGATGGGAGAGGAGCGTACATTTGGGCCATGGTTTGCGACGATGGATCAATGTGCCTCTTTCAATTGTGAATGCCATAGCATCTGGCTTAAAACATGAATCAAATTCAATCACTGGAAAGTTGTTGCATAATGCTCAGGTGACCTATAAGGCCCATGGGCCTCTTGTTTCTTGAAGCAGTCAGTTTGGTTTAGTCAGATCTTTGGGAAAACTGAAAACTATTGCTTACATTTGTACTTGTCTATTGGCTATAATTGTAATATCAACTACAATGTAATCAGATATGTATTTCATGGAAGTTGGCTTCTTGTTCACTCATGCAGTCTATTCTTAACAGTATGTTACAATATCCATTCCTTAGCCCCGTACACTGTCCACTTCCTCCCATGATCCCTTGCAGTCCGTTCCGTGGATGTAAGCTGAGACTGATTGGTGAGCCCGATAAATTGATAGTTAAGCCTCGGAATAATCCCCTCTAGGTTAAGCGTTTAGGAGAAACTGATCAAAATTTTGCAAATGATGTGAAGGCAAGTGCTTGTCCTGTCAGGGTCTTGCTTAAAGCAAACACGGGCTCTTTCTATTATATTGGATGAAATTTGTGCAATTCTGCTTAAGTCAATAACAAGTAATTCTCTTCTGTTTACTGAGGTGAATTTGTCCGCATACCTTAATTAACTAAAGGAAAGGACGGGAGAAAAATGAGGGGATCTCCCAGCACAAATCGCTTTATCCCTTCCAACAAAGGGTTAAATAGAATTTTCCTATTAGAACTGTTTTTCTATTCCAGCTGCTGTAAAAATTGCAAAGAGAAGCAAAACAAATGATAAGACTGGTCCGATCCTAGGGACTTTATATGTGATTGATGACCCTGCGACTGAATGGTAGATGATGAACATCAAGATTTGATCTTCCCTGAACCTGCAAAGTAATAAATTTTATCAGGGTCTTTAATCAAAATTAATCAAGCATCATTTTGCCAGTTCAGGAAAATTACATTAGAATTGTTATGTGAAATCTGTAATTTAATCTAATGGTCTGCGTTGATTAGAGCTGAAGGATTTATTACATTTATATCAGGTACACAAAGAGGTGTCTCTGGATTTGACCAATCATTTTCTGTTCATCAAAAAATCTAACTGTCGGTATCATTCATTTTAATTGCATCTATATCTAATTGCACTGGATAGACTTTTAAAAAGCATGACTACTTAATAAGCTCTCCTTTTACAAAGTGAAATTGGAAAGGATGGATTTTAACCAATTCTTGCTGGATACATGCTGCAATACTTCAGCAGCATACTGTACTTACAAAAGTAATCTTGTCAAATTTATAAAATGATAGATTCATTTTAATGGTACATATATGAATTGGGTATATATTTACCATAGTTTCCAAAGCAATAATTGGACAGGAACTCCTCAACTATATTGAAGGACAATTTCACTCTTTATTAATTGTCTTTCCATTCCATTATTGATGGCCAGTCTGCACCCTCAAGCTTCCAACTAAAATGGCTTAGGGTCTCTGAAATGATCCTGATACATAATATAATTTTCAAAATTTTATTTTTTAAGGAAGAAAAATGTTGATCTTGCCTCAGTGCTTTGTTATAATCTGCAGTAAAGAAGTGTGAAGCCTTATATTTTGTTCTGTATAAGTTAATTCACTTCTAGATAAGTGACAACAGCAGATCCCCATTGATGGTGTTTGAACAACTAGTCAACATTTGTATCTGATGTTTGGCCAACAATCAACAGACATTAAAAAAATATCTTAAACAAATGTAATCATGATAAACTTAGGAACTGCAAACATGTTGTTGACAACATCACTAAGATTTTCAAACATATTTAGTTCAATTTATCTCCAATTTGAGTTTACACAAAGTCAGGAGAATGCTTGAATTAACATTGATACAGTGTAGTGTCAACAAGCATCTGATCAGCACTGATCATATTTGAGTTTTAGGGGGAATTTGCTTATTTTATCTTGTACAAATATTTTCTGATTCAACATAGACAAGCAAGAGCTACACAGTAAGGACCCAACGAATCAGGGCTGGAGAGATTGTTGTGCATGTTTGTCAAACAAACTTTATAACTGTTAGAATCAACTCACAAAGCATCAACTCATCATGGAGGCCAGCTATTTGATTACTGATGGCAAATATTATCTTACACAAAAACTTCTGATATTATTGTGAATTCATGTAGTTCCCTAACTCTGTTTAGAGCCCCATGCTATGTGTTTTCATTGTGGTAGTGTATTTGTGCCATATTTCACAGGAAAATTGTGACAAGTCTATCAACACACACTGATGGGTTTGATATTTAATCAGGCAGACACAGAGGCCATTTAAAATATTCTGTTCAATATATCATATAATTTTTATATCCACCACACATATAGAACACGATCCTAACAATGCTGAACACAGGCTAAATCATCTCTTATTTGACTTGGGATTCTTGTGTATATTTACTCTGGGAGATCCAAACATAGATAGAGATTATCAGATATAATCTTGTTTGGAACTGTCTTAATTAGTTTGAACTGCTGTATACATAAGATTATATCATGGTAATTTTATTGTCAAATTCAAACAGACTAGGAGAGGGGTTGAATGAAAGCCTGAACCTCGGTGTTCAGTGAGTGTAACCCCAGTGTTTACTTTGATACAACATATCTGTGATACTGTTTTAATGTTTTGTCTTGTATTAAAGGTAAAAAAGGCGATATTTGACTTCAGGTGAATTTGTTTTGAAATGCTTATGACAATAATCAATCAATTTATCAACCAGTGAAAAACAAGTGTTTACTTGCCATCATATGCTTTAAAAAGACCAAGTTATATTTTCACAGAAGTGTTAAAACAAAAAAGATAAAATAAGCAAACAAGTAAAACAATACTGTAAACATCAAACTAATTGTACAGGGAAAAATTGTAATGAACATAAATTAAGTTTCGTAAAATTTATCACCAAGCAAATAATACCAACAGAGGTTCATAATACACTACATATAGCATGTTTGGTGAATTCTTTATATCTGTAAAAATAAATCACTTACCAATTATATTAACATTGAAATAACAAAATCTTACCTAGTAGAAAACATCTAGGTTTATGTTATAAAAGTTAAAAAATAAAAAAAACATTTCAAATATTCTGGGAAAACAAGATGTACCATTGGAAATCCATGCATCCATTTGTCTGTTGTTTTGTGAAATTTAATTACAGTCAAACATTTATTTATTATTTCAAATGCTAAGAGACCAAAGCAAGATATTTTAGGATGCAAAATATGGAGGGTAAAATGCTTGAAGAATTATAAAGAACATGTAGTTTAGTGGACATCCAAATTCATACTATTCTGTATCAGTGAAGCAAAGCCCAACTGCATAAGCAAATAGCGCTTGATTAATTCAGTATTCATTGTCAAAAGGTATGCAGTGATCTTAGCTAAAAAATATCTATGTATGAAGCCCAATGCAGTATTCTGCGAGGATTCCAAATTAATTGATCCATGCAGACACTTCTTTCCCTTGTCCTATTCCAAGAGTATGTGGACATCATCTCAACACTATTACACTATCTAATCTGACTGAGTGAGTTTAGCAGACAAAGCAAAATATAATGATAGTTCTTCATACTTTGTAGATGTTGAACTCTGTACACTCAGGCTTTATTGAATTTTGTAACATGTGGTGACCTTTTTGATCTACTATTGAACTATTTAAAAGTGTATGTCAAAAGCTTGTACACTAATTGTAACAAATATTGAAAATGAAAAAAAACACATTATGCAAGAGAGCAGACTAATCACTTATTGACAATTTGATCTTTCAGCTCTACATCAGCAGCTGTCAGTAATGCTGCACATGATATCTCAGAAATCGAGAACCAGATTATCCCTGATAAGGAGGACCAGTCACATGACAAGAAAAAGGCTTCACCCTCAGGTATAACATGTACATGTCTGAAACTTTCCAAACAAAAAAGAAAGAAAGAGACACACAGATTGTATGAGTACAGTTTTATATGTCACCCTTCTGACGTGAGGTTATTTTTTTTCGTAGCACCTGTGGGAACAACACCATCCAGTCCCCCCAGAAGACCAATGACATCCTCCATGACAAACCCTACACAGTTCTCATATAACCCCTTTGGAAACTACACACCCTCCTTTATGCATTCTCCCATGTACCTCAACCAACCCTACCCTGCAGGCTACCTAAGTCCCTCCTTGTTTTCCTACAACATGGGTTCCCCCAGGGGTCAGCCAATAAGACCCGCTTTTACCTCCAGTCTTCAGCAGAACCCAGGGGCTCAGGGCTCTGAAGAAACCATTGTCTCCCAAGATTCAACCACTGCCTCTTCAGAAAATGTAGATGCCCCATTAGAAATGACTGACCTCAATTCAAGTCCTCAAAAAGAGGCCAAGTCATGTGACCAGCAGCCCTCCAATGGGTTAGGGCCCCAGACAGGCTACAGCCCTTTTGCTGCAGCATCCCCCCTAAGAAGTGCCCCATTTCTACCTCATAGTTCCCTCCAAGTGCAATCTTCATCACCTGGCCTGTTTCCTGCGTACTCACATGGTTATGGACTTGCGGCATCCAGTAGTACTACAGACCAGACCAAACAAATATCTCTTCTACTGTCTGAACTCGATGCTGCAAAAGCACAAAACAAAAGAGTAAGTTTTTTTTACAGTGTATGTCTAGATATATTTCAAACGTCAATGATGAAACTGTGTACTCAAAATAAATTGAGGTCAAACTTTTCAAGTGTGTCTCAGAACAGTCATTATATTTAATACAAAGATTAAGGAATATTTTTGAATTTTTAAATAGAAGAGTAACTTTCTAAGATGTTACATCTATTGTTATACAGTTAGCAGAGAAGCTGGCCCAGTGTGAACATGATCTGGAAACTTCTTGTCTGAAGCTGAAAACAAAAGAGGTGGACGCTAAGGGAAGCACGGACTCCTCTGCTGCAGCAGGTACTTGTAATGATACTAGTGTGGAGGTCACAGCAAAATTTACACCTTTTATAAAAATTCTCATAAAGATATCTAATTTTGAAAATTTAACTGATATTTTTTTGTACATATTCATACAATGAAACTTTGTTATCTCAAATTAAATGTGGGTGGGGGGTGGAGGGTGTCTGAGAGGAAAATTGACATCAAGTGGCAACTTTGTTAATTATAAATATCATGTGTAGAATGTATATTAAAAATATGAATATTTTGAATTACCATATCTTCAATGGTTTTATCATGTTTCCTGAATGGTTTAATTAACTGTCTGTTGTAAAGAGACCTTCAATTAGTGGTTCCTAATAATACTTTGTGTTCGGGACAAATCTTCATTTCATTTCATTCAAACGGTCTGAAAAATTAGATGAGCACAATTTGACTTGATTTGAACTGTTTGATGTTAACTGCTTTTTGATAAAATCTTAATTGCATTTGAGGTAGATTTTAATGAGTAGATATTTGGAAATCAATTTTTGAACAATACTTTGTGAGCCCTGGTCAATTTCTCCCGCTGCACACAAAAGTGAGAGATAAGTTGCATTAGGAGATATTTGTAAAGTGATAGTGCTTAAGTAGCCATGTTTGAAGCCTACAATAGGAATTCCTCATTAGAGCCTGTGTTACGGACATTGATTTAAAGGAGAGATTGTCCTCTCCGTCCTTCATTCCCCCTCTTCATTCCTCCTTCTCTCACTCCCGGTATAATCAATACCAATTATAAGCATTCATACAGCCGTTTTGAAATGAGTCGACAATCAAATCACTTTACCATTCTTATTAATTTTCGTGCGATACCTTAATCATGACTGCTGTGGGAGCCGCCATTAATTGAGGACTGAAGTGTCATATTTTCTCCCCGTGATGTCCAGGTATATTGATTCACGAAGAATCAAAAAATGGGAGAAGTTTTTCCTTGGTGATGAATCGCTTGCCAGCCTATTTCATTTTCCTATCAGAACACGTATTGATCATCCGCGATTAATCGTGTTGCAGCATTTCTCATTACGGATGACAATGTTGGACTTTGAAGTCTCATTCTCGAGGCCTATCAGCGTAAATCAAGCTGTCAACCATCAGTCTAGGCCTCCATTACGCTTCACCTAGACCTGCTTCAGCAGCCTAGCTCTTGGGGATTAACCATCTTTAAGTTTGCTTTTGGAGAATTGACTTATTTCACTCTTTTGGATAATTAAGCAATAGATTGCTTTATAAATTATCTAGTCACTATTGGTGATTTTTTTTTTTTGACAGACTTATATTTTCCCGGGTTGTCTCGTATCAGAACATAAATTGTTGCTTCATGAATGTTATATGTCAGTGATAGAGGCTAAATTCTCTAATGCTTTATTAATTCTCATGCATGGCATTTTCGATTTCAATGATAACTGATTTACTCAATTGAATAATGCATGCAATTTTAGCACTTAATCTATAGTAATTGGTCAACTTTTTACAGTCTCAATAATGGTTAAGTTTGCAAATGTCATCTATGTATACCTATTAACTTGGTTTGAATGTGCTTATTTTACCATTTTTTTGTTTTTGCACACTACTTAATACTGTGCAAAAATGTCAATTAACAGAGAAATGAAAAAAAAAATATGATCAACTATTATACTTGCTGACTTTCTAATGATTGAAACTGCTTTTTCTGCAGGAATGACATTGTACAAGGAATATAGATACAAAAAGACATAAGCTTATAAAGAAAATCCTACAAAAAATTCAAACAGCTAATGTACAAAATCATATATATATTGGGAAGTTTTCCATAAATTTCATGCTAATAAATCTTGATCTTAAAATGATTTGATTACCTGCAAGGTGTGGGAGTTAAGTTTTTAGAGGCAGTCAGGTGACCAGTCTATCTGTGTACTGTTAATCAAAGCATCAAAATGCAAACCTTGCATAATATACTTTGATCAAAATGTGAAATCCCTGAATCGAACATAAGAGATAGTGTAGTTTTTATTACGCCTCCGTTTTATTTTTGCCCCTTTTGCCCTTACTTTGGTTGGGTGAATTTAAAAAGGAGAGCACAAATTTAAATAGTACAGTATATTTTCTTCAAAAAAAATTGTGACTGGATGAATTTAAAATGGGGCAAAATTGTTTGAAAGGGCAAAAATAAAGCAGGGCAAAAATAGCCCTGTATACAGTAATTGGAATGCTTATATACGCATCATAGTTTGTTCACCTTTAGAAATGTCATAGAGTCCTTTGAAATTCAGTCAGTATAGAAAAGATTGCTTAACTAGTAGTGACTGATATATATCTTTTACAGACTGAAGATATAATTTTTGCAACATTTGTAACATTTGTAAATTTATGTTAAACTTGAAAGTTTGAAAAAAAAATTACATAAGTATTAAACCCTATCTTTCATCAGAAAGGATATTTGTTAAATCATGAAATTTATTATTTTGACCTCATCTTTCAGCACTTTATCAGTACTTTAATTATTATGATTTGATTATAAGGAAGATATTGACTCAGAGTTGTATTTTTATTGCTAGGTATGGTACAGGAAGTCCACACAGCCCAGAGGAAGAGGGAAGAGAGCATGATGGGAAGGATGAAGCTGAACAGCCAGGAGAAGGAGGAAGCATTAAGGAGACTGAGGGAGCTGGAACGAAGACTGGACGAGTAAGTCAAGAAAATAATCCCGATATACTCTGTCATTACGAGAAGACTGGACGAGTAAGTCCCGAAAATAATCCCGATATACTCTGTCATTACAAGAAGACTGGACAGGTAGGTCAAAAAAATAATCCCGATATACTCTATCATTACGAGAAGACTGGACGGGTAAGTCAAAAAAATAATCCCGATATACTCTATCATTACGAGAAGACTGGACGGGTAAGTCAAAAAAATAATCCCGATATACTCTATCATTACGAGAAGACTGGACGGGTAAGTCAAAAAAATAGTCCCGATATACTCTATCATTACGAGAAGACTGGACGGGTAAGTCAAGAAAATAATCCCGATATACTCTGTCATTACGAGAAGACTGGACGAGTAAGTCCCGAAAATAATCCCGATATACTCTGTCATTACAAGAAGACTGGACAGGTAGGTCAAAAAAATAATCCCGATATACTCTATCATTACGAGAAGACTGGACGGGTAAGTCAAAAAAATAATCCCGATATACTCTATCATTACGAGAAGACTGGACAGGTAAGTCAAAAAAATAATCCCGATATACTCTATCATTACGAGAAGACTGGACGGGTAAGTCAAAAAAATAGTCCCGATATACTCTATCATTACGAGAAGACTGGACGGGTAAGTCAAAAAAATAATCCCGATATACTCTGTCATTACGAGAAGACTGGACAGGTAGGTCAAAAAAATAATCCCAATATACTCTATCATTACGAGAAGACTGGACAGATAAGTCAAAAAAATAATCCCGATATACTCTATCATTACGAGAAGACTGGACGGGTAAGTCAAAAAAATAATCCCGATATACTCTATCATTACGATAAGACTGGACGGGTAGGTCAAAAATATAATCCCGATATACTCTGTCATTACGAGAAGACTGGATGATTAAGTCAAAAAATAATCCTGATAAAATCTGTCATTAGGAGAAGACTGGATGGGTAAGTCGCGAAAATAATCCCGATATACTCCGTCATAAAGAGAAATCTAATGGACGAGTAAGTCACGAAAATAATCCCGATATACACTGTCATTAAGAGAAGACTGGACGGGTAAGTCAAAAAATAATCCCGATATACTCTGTCATTACGAGTGAGGTGAGGTCTCCCAGATATATAAGGGTACCTATATACAAGTATACATATGATAATCAGCTGTATTTTTTTAGGACTTTTTTTCATTAAATTTTGATAAAACCTACACAATCATACATAAGATAATCAGCTGTATTTGTTAATGACTTTTCTTCATTTTGATATTTTGTGATAAATTATTCCATATGATTTTTACATGACAAATAGAAAGAATGTAATTGTTCAACTTATCAAATCAAATGCACTGTGTGTAACATGTATATGATGTTTTGTTTTTCTAAATAAAATGTTGAACTTTTAAAAAAAAAAAAAAAAAAAAAAAAAAATCCCGATATACTCTGTCATTACGAGAAGACTGGATGATTAAGTCAAAAAATAATCCTGATAAAATCTGTCATTAGGAGAAGACTGGATGGGTAAGTCGCGAAAATAATCCCGATATACTCCGTCATAAAGAGAAATCTTATGGACGAGTAAGTCACGAAAATAATCCCGATATACACTGTCATTAAGAGAAGACTGGACGGGTAAGTCAAAAAAAAAATCCCGATATACTCTGTCATTACGAGAAGACTGGAGGAGTAAGTCACGAAAATATTTCTGATATAAATGTCATTACAAGAAATCTACTGGATGAGTAAGTCACGAAAATAATCCTGATATACACTGTCATTATGTCATTATGAAAAACGTAGTGGACGAATACATGTAAGTCTAGAAAATAATCCCAATAGACTCCATCATTAAGAGAAATCTGTATATTGTGGAAAGATGAATCTTTTTCTTGGGTGTTATTTTTGAATGCAGAGTGACAAATTTTGCTATAAACTGGTATAAATATGTTTATTAAATGCCACATTTTTTTATACCTTGATATACTGAATTGATAATATTTGCTGTTTTTTGTGAAAACCTTGATTGAAGGGATTTCCTTTTTTCCTGTTTCAGGGGTTACTCAGACAACACGGACTTATCAGATTTTGATGACCCTGAGGAGGACGAGGTCACCGAGGTGAAGGACATTCTATTCTTAATTTGATTAATATGTGGACCCTTATTACAATTTTTCCTACCTATAAAGTTTCATATAGTACTGTTATTATAGAACATCACTCAGATGACAATCTTCAAAGATGCTGTTCATTTTTCAGAATTATAAAACAGATATCCTAGATAATGCTCACTGAATTAACGTAGCATCAACAAAATTGAACATAGTGAAGCTCTTAGATGACTTTGTATGTAAAATATGGGATATGAGAGAGAGCACATGTATTATTCATATCTTGTTGCCATCTTTTGAAGTTTTGAGTCATGCCCAGCTTTTAATTGATTCTTAAGCACAGTCCCTTGGTTTTATTAATTTATTACAATTATAAAGTCAGGAGGTTATCAATGTGGCAGTGAAGCAATGTTACAGCCCGGCTGTTGTCGGAGAAGTAATATTTCTGTAGCTGGTTGAGGCAGCTATTTCGCCCCAGTGTCTGTCTGTCCATCTGTCACTCGTTACCGGCTGCCATGGTAACCAGGTAGATGACAAACATGTCCCCTCCATCCCACCCTTTGTCAGGGGAGTGTACGGGATTATATCTGTCTCTCAGAGTCTTTATTGTTAAGAATAGAGATAACATCAAAAGATAGGACTGCTAACGGAATACTATATGCTAAGTGGTTTGAAAAGTAACAGTTTGATTGCTGCTTATCCTTATTTTTATTAAGTGTAATCATGCCTGTGAGTATAAAAATTATAAGTGTACTATTTTTAGTTTTTATTATTTACATAAATAATCTTCCTTGGAAAAAAAAGAAGAGAAAAAGATCTGAAGTCTGTAAATAAAAAAAAAAAGAATTGCGAATAGTTTTGAGGACAATCAGAATATTAAGTATGAGAATACAGCTTTAGCAGACACAAAGTGCTCTAAACCAACCAAGAGTTAATTTATTATTGTGTTATATTAGTAAAATTGATTTCCATTTTGTTCCCTCAATAATACTGATAACATATAAGTTCTCGTAAATGTCACAGGCTTGGCCAATGAGAATAAATTTCCATGTTTGGGGGTTATTAAAATTTCACTCCCTGAAGAGCGCCCATGTAACAGTTATTACTCATTGCTGGAATTTCTTTATTCTGGCAAAATCCTAATAAGCATCAGAGTTAATACGTAGATTTATGGTATATACCCTGAACTATGATTAAATTTTTAAAACTTTGGTCAGATGGGGCGAGAGATTTATGTTGATTATTGATCTACCAGAAGTTTAATCCTGTAGAACATGAAATTCAGTATTTGCAAACAACTCAATATAGTCTTGGTGGTTAAAGGGGATTAAGGGGACATCATACTTGGCAATTTGTTTGAAAAAAAAGCACAGCTTTATTTTTGCTTGTCTTCCACTATCTTGGATAAAGACCCCTCGTAAACTTTTAAATACCGTACATATATATAATCAATAAACTGAAGGCTGAGCAGCCTTAGAACTGTCTTAGACTTGGCGCTGGTTTTGGGGGCTGTGGGGGATTGGATCCTGGGAATGGATGGGGTTCTCACCACAGAGAGATCTGACAACTTTGTCCCTCACAGCTTGATGTAAGGACAGGGGTCCTAGCACCTGACAGTTTTAATCTCCAAATAAATGTATTATATATAACAAGAGGCCCAGGGGCCACAGCGCTCACCTGAGCACATATACCCCCCCCCCCCCCTTCCAGGCGTTCATCATTTGAACAAACTAGAATCTACACTATCTGAGGATGATTCCATATAAATACCCCGGGTATCACTAATCATAGCTTTGAAGTACTTGAAAGGAAGATTTTAAAAGGTTTCCCTATATATCCCTATGTAAAACTTGGGTCGGCCATTTTGGCCCCACCCTTGCCCCTGGGGCCATGATTTGAACAAATTTGAATCTACAAATCTTTCCTAGCCCAGTGGTTCTGGAGAAGAAGATTTTTAAAGATTTTTATTATATGTAAAATATACATATGAACAAACTTGGATTCCACTGGCCCAGTGTTCTGGAGGAGAAGATTTTTAAAGATTTTTCTTATATATTCCTATGAAAAACTTGGGTCGGCCATTTTGGCCCCAATGATTTGAACAAAATTGAATCTACACTACCTGAGGATGATTCCACATTAGTTTCATCTTTCCTGTCCTAGTGGTTCTTGAGAAGAAGATTTTTAAAGATTTTTCTTATATATTCCTATGTAAAATCGGCCATTTTAACCTTGCCCGGTCATGATTTGAACAAACTTGAATCTACACTACCTAAGGATGATTCCACATGAGTTTCATCTTTCCTGGCCCAGTGGTTCTGGAGAAGAAGATTTTTAAAGATTTTTCCTAAAATGAACAAATGAATTTACACTACCTGAGGATGATTATTCATCTTTCCTGGCCCATCTGGAGAAGAAGATTTTTTAAACATGCCATAATTTTTAACAAATTCATGATTATCTCCCCTTGGAAAAGGGTGTGGCCCTTCATTTGAACAAACTTGAATCCCCTTCATCCAAGGATACTTTGTGCTAAGTTTGGTTATGGCCCAGTGGTGAGAAGAAGATGAAAATGTGAAAAGTTTGACTACGACGACGACAACGACAGACAACGGACAGATTTTGATCAGAAAAGCTCACTTGAGCCTTCGGCTCAGGTGAGCTAATAATATACATATACGGTACACTATGTGTGAATAAGTGTCTTTTTGTCGTGATCCTGGTCTTCAGTGGTTTGGATAAAATATGGATAATGTCATTTCTAGCGATCTGATATAACTGTTAAAATGCAAATTTTTAGCTTTACTGATTAATTGCTGTGGTAACTTGATTACAATTCTTTCAATATCATGGACTTTCAGTTGATTATATGGCAACGTACTTATATTTATGTCACACTGAACAGTCATTGACACTGACTGTATATTTCACAACAGAGCAAAGATTAGATTGTAGAAATATTCTAATTGAATATCCTATCAGATAATTTTGAAAATGATACTACTTTAACAGTTTTGTTCTGATTTCAATAAAACTTCATTGTTTTTTCTTCATCTGGTCTTTGATTAATTGTCAGTATAAGAAAATATCATTACTGTTTCAACTTTTAAAATTCTCACCCTATTGGTTGGCTACAACTTGGATGTTACATATTCTTTGTTCAAGTATTTAAAAACTTCCGTCTAATTGCATTTTTACAAGATTTTAGATTTTTTTCACAGCAAATATTTAAAGATAAATCGTCCTTGAATTTGAAAAATCTTGGTACATAAAATGATGAGTGTTGCAAAGAATAAAAGTGGTCCTCTTCATTTCCCTTTCAGGGCATTGACAATTTATTGTCCCAGATCGACTCAAACTATGGGGTAGACAAGAAATACAACTCATTTCTACGGCGATTAGAACTGGTCAAACAACGACAAAGGGAGATAACTGAGGAGGAAATGAACACTTTGCTGGAGGAGAGAGACATTGCTTTGTCAAGGGTAATCTACTCAGTTTGTTTTGTTCATTAATACGATTATTGTCTGATTATAATCAGTCACAAACTATGGAAAAACTCCGTTAGGTAGAATCAGAGAACTTGATATAAATCGAGCATTTTTTTAAATAGAAGTAGGAATCTATTTGCATCTACATTTTAAGATATGCGTACAGAAAACAAAATGAAACTCAAAAAAATATTAGGCTACAATTTAATGTATTTTTTATGAGAAAAAATAATAAAGCTTGAATTATTTTAAAATACTTCATTTGTGAAGCTTTTCATAAAGAAAGAGTAAAACACCGTATGCATCACTATGTGTTCAAAACCATGAATAGCGAGTAATCTCTGTGACACACATAGATTGAGACCTTTCAGTGCTCAAAACTGCCACAAATTATTAAAAAAATGCATGCTCTAATTGTATTTCGTACGTGCTATTTTGCACAAGGTTTTGACTTGGAAGTGATTGTCTATTTTCACTGTTTTTTGTACTCTTATGTATATTATACAAATAATTCTTCATTTTAGGGTGACTTTACATAACTCTAAAAACTATCTCAGCATGAGTTTTCCCAAAAACAAAAAGTTCTTCTGTTTTTATAACCTATAATTTCAGGAGTTGGAGGATATCCCTTGTCAATGACTTTTCTTTGTTATATAATCCTTTATGTTTTAGATGGTTTTGCCTCCAATAATATTGATTTTATCTGTTAATAACATCGGTTTTTATTTTCAATACTGTCTAGACATAAAAAACTGCTTATAAATGCACCCATTCTTCTGCAGGCAAGAAAGCTCGAAGAGGAATTGTTAAAGTATCAAAAAGAAAACACAACTTCAAACAACGAGCAACATCTAAGGGTAATTATATACTTTTATCAACTTTTTTATAAAAAAAAAAGTTCAAAAGAGAAACACTGAAGTTGCACAATTGATCTAGGCAGCGCACTGTTGGGTAGCTCACCATTTTCTCATAATCACGTGACCCCTGTACAGGTCCGACAATGCGTTGATTATATAAAACATAGGTATATATATTGTCAAATGAATTGTGTTATTTAAAGATTTTCTACAGGAACCTCTCGTCCTATGGTTTGATGTCAAAGGTTACAGCTTTTTTTGACAGGCTCAAGGATATCAAATAATTGTCTATAGAAAAATAAAAGAAAAATAATCACACACACTTTGTATGTAAATAGAGATATGGCTTTGAAATATGCAAACAAATAAGTTTACTAGCACCTGTGCAGCAGGGCCGTTAAAAATAATTTCGTTTAATACAAATGGTAATTTTAGAAATCTCAAATATAGGCTTAGATATTCTCACAAATAAGCTGCTTTTTGATGTATTATTTTAGTAATGCCTTTGCTTCATTTTTTTTTCCATGGAGAGAAAATAAATGCATCCACTAGGAAAGACATTGTTTTTTTGTTAAAAAAATCCTTTGCTAGGGGATATGAAATATTTAATTTAAATGTGAATGAACGCCAATATATCAGAGTTTGAGGGCTGATATAGAGTAACCAAAGAATGGTCGACTTAAAGTACCCTAAAATTAGTTAGGTGGAGGACAATTGATTCAATAAGACTGTATTCCCCATTGTATTCGGTAGAATTGCAGGAATTTAATTACTTTTGACAGGTGTCACAGAGAAGCGAGTAAGAACTGGCTTAATTTTAGTAAGACTTTCCATCCCCCTTTACATAATTATCGCCAATTTATTGGGGACCTCATTTAACATGGGATTATCACTGGATATAGATAATTGTAGGTAGAGATACATCACAAAGGACAAATATATATCTATTTATATTACACTAAGAGGCCACAGGCAGGATTGAAGGTTTCTGTTCGTGAAACAGGTGTTTATGACAAGGACCCTTTTAAATTTATTGAAGTTATGAATGGAATCTAAAGAAATTATGGATATTAAATAATAGATGCATCCTTTTGAAATTATTGATTTTTTATATTGATGGAGAAGGAGAGATAAAGATTTAGAATTAAAAAAATAGTGCTATTTTCCTAAGATTTTTAAAATGTAAATGAACATTTTAATAGAAGCCTTCAATGATATTGAGAGAATGCAGTATGTTTTTACAGGTAACTGAAGGTACACATTTTTTATTGAATTTTTCCATTTTCTGTGTTTTTTTTTTATTTTGGTTTGTGTTACATAATTTCTAATGTTTGCTTGTTGTGGCAATTCATCATGACAAATTTACAATTTATTGGAGGGAGATTTCTAACATACAGAGGATATATTGCATGATAAATGTCTTGTTTCTACCTTGTTTGGTTACTCTGAATAATTTGAGTTGTATGATTTTTTTTTCTTTTTTTCAAGTATTTTAACCCAGTGTGTTGATAAGCTATCTGAACAGAGTTGTCAGTTTGAGTGCAGTTTTAATATACTGTAGTGTGTGCTATTCTGAGATCAAAGCAATATGTTACATTACTGAAGCACCCTCATAACCCTCTACAAGCCTCATCAACAAATTCTTTACATCTCGTCCTTATGTACTTTTTCCTGAATATAAAAGATTAGTTTAAAACAGTATGATGGGGGACAGAAATAAGTTCCCCTTTTGTGCCCCCAGTGGATGACTGATTTGATAATAACCCATTTCAGTCTCTACTCTTATCTGGTCACTGCTGTATTGGCCATTGTTAGAGCTGGGTCCTTAATGGTCCAATGTATCAGGGGAGATAATCCCTTATCGCTACATTCCAGTATATACCTGTATCCTCCTTATCAAGGGCCAGGGGTGCACCCAGTATTAGTCACTCATTCAGGTGTCAAATCAAGCAGAGTGATATGTCAAGTCAGTTACACTGGCTCTCATTTAGGATGGGAACAAATTTTAATTCAATTTCAATTACACTGTAAAGTGCTTCAAAAATTGCAATTTACTATAAAAACATACAGTAAAACTCTTTAAGTATGAACATGGATATTGATGAACATTGAAATTACAAATTCATGGATATAACAAAGTTAACCTGGATCCCAAGCTTTATAAATTTAAAGACCTCCTTATATGGATAAAACAAATTACTGATATAACTTAGTAATTCTAAAGGTCCTGGTGACTTTGTTATAACCGAGTTTTACTGTATATGTCTACATCTGTGTGATTGCTCATTCATTTAGTATTGATATCACAAAACAAATCAAAGAATTTAAGCATGTTATTTCATAGAAAGGATTTGAATCATCTAAAACTCTCAAAAAGTTGAAATATTTGTATAGCTGTAATAAGGAAAAATAAGACACATGCTACAAACAAAAAAATTGGATGCATGGATTGGTATATATTCTAATTTAAGACTGATTTTAGAATTAAATGATGCAAATATATTAGTAAAGTGTAGACTTTTGTGCTGTTCAGGAGTCCTCCTTTTGTCATCAACGTTATGAATTTACTCGTAATTTTTAACATCTTTGTAGAACATTAAAAAACTGTGGATGAAAAGCGAAACTCTGGCTTTGCATGCATTATACTTAAACATTAAACAAAGATTTAGTTGTTATAAGATTTTGTATAATCAGTCCTCATCCCTTTCTCTTTGTTCTGTAACAGCCCAGGCCCAGTTCCCCTGGCTATTTTATGCCTGTACCACCTGAGTCACCACGGTAGGTACTAAGTGAGTGGAGACGGGCTTGGGTGCACATTTTGTCCGGGACTAGACCAATTTTATGCTGCGTGTTGTGTACTTTAAAAGCACTAACAAGGGACAGGATTAAACATCTTAATTGAATAGTAATTTTCAAATATTTCATAGAAACTTGGTTTTGATATTTTTGTATTGGGCATTGATAATAAATTTACAATTTTTTTAACTATAGATATCACAGAGCATTTGTTTGCACAGGTACGCTGTTCGAATGAGATTTTAAGTAAGTTCAGGGGTACATGTATAGCAATTCATCATGGATTTCCGGGGATGACATTTTGTTGTTCAACTGTTTCGGTCATAGTATTTCTGAGTGTAATCCATCTAACTGGAGTGGGTTGTTGCCACGAAATATGAATTTGTCTGTAAACGGATTTACACGAGAGCTTTACGACTCCCAGACTGAAAGGACATTAGGATGGTGATCATATAACGGTGGTCACCAATCGCGTTCGTTTTCCTGCTTTGTTTGAATTCATAATGAACTTGGTGTAAAAATCATCGAGACAAGATATTTAAACCATCTCTTCATCGCACCTGACAGTTTCAATAGAAAGTCTGTGTCTTGTTATAAATAGAGACAAACACCGTTTCTGTTTGCCCAGTGTTGAATCCTAATATTTACAGGAGGATGGCGGGAACCCTCTAAGCGTTGTTGACTTACATTGGCTTCCACCAATACTCTGAGTCAATAAGTTTTGTGTTAAACTTGTGAACACATTATAAATGCAAATACTTCTGGTAAACAAAAGTTGATGACAGTGGTAATCTCTCTTGATAAGGGCTCCGAACATTGAACACCGTCTCCCCGATCTTTTCGGAGGTCCTCTTCGATCTTTGGCGGTGGTCCCCTTCCACAAGTATCGGATTTCAGCCCAGTACAAAAAATCTACCTCGTGTTGATAAGTAAAGATGACATTTTAAGGACAAATCAAACATTTCTTAATGTTCTGATTTGTGTGAATAGATTTGAAGTTGTCTCAGATTATCAATGGCGAATAATCGCGTGTTTGTGTGTTTTTGGCGTTGTGTAAATTTGTATTTTTCTTCTTATCATGCAATATCATGTGCCAATGTGTGTATACTTGTTTATCCAAAACTCGAAGGTCTGACCCCACGGTACTTCAAACTCGACACTGACAAGACAACCCAGCGATTGTAATAAATTTTACATCGCAACACGTAAAACAAAAGAATGAAGTTAAAATCCCTTTCAGGCAGACTTTCAGAACGTGTTCTGCTGAAGGAAGCGGAGCCAGCAAGGCTAGCCACCCATAATCAACTACTGCTAGATTAGCTATAAACATATTTGGCCTAGTTTTGTTTTACATTTATCAGCGGGAAAAATAAAAGGTCACAAATCTCCATTTAGGATTATCAGAGACTGCAGGAAATTCTTGAGTTTCCTCGAGATAAACCCTGTTTGTGCGAAAGGTTGAAATCACTATTGGTGGGGTCCCTTGTTCCTAATCTTCCAGAGCCTCGGAAGGAGAGCTGGTCAATTATTCAGATTATATTGTTCATTTCTGTGAACCACACCGGTCTCAGAAATAACCTCGCTGACAAGGAATCCACCAGAACATAACCCACAGAGTCAAATCCGAACGTCCGGGTCTAGCAGAAGACACAAACATGTATTGTAATTACATGTATATCATAGGTGTGTGTAAAAAGATGATCTTAGAATGACCAGTGGATGGGGAACTGTATTGATCAAGAGCTTTATTGTAGGGAATTTTCCAAATATATTACCTGTCAGCCATTAAATTCTCTTCCCTCTTAAAGTCCATGAAATAGTATTTAATAAGGAGAGATATGGTTCAAATTGACATGTATGATAGCAATCACACAGAATGAAATAAAATTGATAAACCGTGGGGGATAAAAGGTTATAAACCTGCGATTGTATCCTTGAAAGATATCTCCAATTTTAACTGATATACCCATCCGAACACGTCTTTGCTTACGTCGTGGATTTTTATTTTCGCCTTTCAAAAAAGATTACGAACAAACATGGCGACAGCTGGGGTTAAATAAATCGAGAGGCATTAACGTACATATAGCTCAACAATTACCAAATCATTACCTGGTCATTTTAGTTGTATTTTATTCAACTTATCTGGAAGTGAGAGCTGGGGATTTAGAATGAAAGGAACAGTCAGCTGAACGTTTCCAATATCTCGGCTAATAAAACTTCAGTTCCGCGGAGGAGGCGAGCTTTCGGCGGGTCTAATCACCGCTACAGTCAAATTTATTACGCTTCGCACTTGCATAAATTCAGCAAAATGAAAATTCATCTGAAACGTCCAACTTAATTGCATATTATCTAATGCTCAATATGTCGGCGATATTGGGAAACATAGCCCTGGTTGTTGATGGTCTCCTTGGTGAAGCAGTCAACTTCTAAACACCTGCAGACGGTAAGAGATTTGTCCTAGGAGCCGGCAGATCTGGACTGATTAATAGATTCCTTGATAATCGTGGACATTTTCCTCCAGTCCAGGCATGGGGTCAATCAACACAGCGGTCACCTACATTGTAGACATTCATTGATGTTGAATCACTGCTTCTTTATTTTGGAATTGTTCATGTTATCAAATTATGGAAATAAATGATTTGTCAAATGGAGCACGTAATTCATTTAATTAGTGTGATCAAAGAAGTTACATATTTATAAGGCGTATCTGAAAGGAGGGGAGAAACCAAAAGGAAGAGACTTTGAACTTTAACAGCAAGCAAAGCAAATTGTAAAACCTTGTAGAATATAAGGTTTGCTGTTTTCATGGAAAGAAGTGATTCCCTCTGCTCTAGATATTTCCTTACTCCATTTTCTTTTCATACAAGTGTACATTTGGCTTCACTTTGAATATACATGCTTTTATTCTCAAAAGAAACACAAATAGATGAGTACATCGTAAACATGGGAACTCTTTAACCAAAGAAGGGTACATGTCTGTACATCATCGGCTAAAAACCTTTTACAAATAGTTTTCAATATACTATAGCTTTCCGTAACTTCTAATTATTTTGGGTCTGAATTGTCAGTTGAAGCTAATACAGTTTTAGTTTTCTGTCTTCTTTCTCCAGTAAAGCAACATTCCACGACAATATTTCTGATGTACAAGTATTCTAAGATAATTAATGTTTTGAAACTAAATATGAACAATATTCAAACCGAAAATGTTGTAAGTGTTTTCTTTCTCATATCTCCAAACGGAGGAAATAAGGCCATTGAATGAACGAAAGATGATCCATTGAATCTTCCGTCGAAAATTAATAAAATTAATTATTTTTTAATACTTTGTACAAGAAAAAAATCTAATTGTTTCAATTACAGATGAAAAATAACTGAGATGTAGTTTTGCTGTTACACTTATTGTTAGAAGGAAATCGTTTCCTGTCTATATAGTTTGTAGGGAGGACAAGGGTTTCTTTGTACTAGCTGTCAGTCCCACCGCTTACTCCCACACGTGTACAAGTTGTTCAACAAGAAATACTTATTCTAAAATCTTTATATGATGTTGTTTGAGAACAGACCAAGCCAACAAGAACATCAAGAAATTCGGGATAATGTAAAGTTTTCGGGCTAACCGTAAACAAACCATTTATTACACTGTATCGATACTGAGATGAGGACAGGAACTTCATTTCCAGATTGGGACTTACTGAAAAATTAGGACCCCCAACATACTGTATCTCCCAAATGTTCCATCTTAATTTACTCAGATCAATAACTCTTCATTTTGATACATAAATCTTTGATAATCCTTCATTCGAAAAACCAGCTCGCAGCACGGAGTATGTCTATTCCAGGTGATTAAGGATGTTTTAAAATGAGGGTTTCGACCCTTTTCTTATTCACACCTTTTTGCGTTTGGGTGCATTGCTTTTTTCCTAGGAAGTATAGCGTTAACCTTAGAATTCGGGTTTTTCATTTGGACTAAGTTATAGACAGATCTAGTACGCATTACATTGATTGATTTTTGTCAGTGCCATGTGATAAAAGGTAAAAACTCATTGGGAGCCATTACACATGGTGAAAATTGTACATTTGTCTTCAACCCTGATAACCCATGTTGTCAAAGCGCTTCGTTTTCAACGAATGACAAGCGAATTTGCAATTAAATTTAATGAAAAGAATTTATGGATAGATGAAAAAAATAGAATTTAAGGATAGATGGAAAACACATGCTGAACTGATTTTCATTGTACATGGCATTACATGCATGATTGTTTCGTAAAAATGAAGAAGCTTAGTTTTATTTATCAATTCATTTATTATTGAAAAAAAATTATCAAAAAAAAAAAAAAAAAAAGGAAAAAGTGTTTTTTTTAATGTGTATTTTTTTTATGAATTTCAGGCAAAACTGGCAATTCTCCAACAAGAGCGCGATCTGGCACTTGCGCAAAATCGACAACTCGCGGATGAAATTCAGACGATACGCATCTACTACAGGTACAACGGAAGATCTTAACTCTTTTTTATCATTAACATAAAATAAATCTCTTTCCTTATAAATATATATTAAAACAGGTTTACTTTCTTCTGCTTTATTGCTTTTAATATTGGCCATAAATTGTCAAATGACAATACTTTGTAAAAGAAACAAAGTAAGTAATTCAATCGAACACTCTTAATTCAGCCTCCACAAATCCCTCACCTCGGAGCCCCAGTCCACGGATGAAGTCAACTCACTTCATCCCTTCAAGTCCTCGATGAGTAACAACACAGAGAAGGAAAAGCGCCATCTGGCGGAACAACTAGCAGAGGAAAGGCGGGAAAAAAGTCACCTGCAGACGGAACTTGAAAAAATGGAGGCCCAGATCGGAGAGAATGCGCGGGAACACGAAAGGTCAGAAGGTTTTCTAATTATTATGAATGAAACAATTAAGAAATAAAAATTTCCTTCAAAATATATAATAATTTTTCTTATTTAGGTTAAATAATTTGGTTGCTGCTTTAAGACGAAAGTTAAAGACAGAGTTGGCGAAAGCTGAGTCAGCTGTTTCAAATGACACGTCTTATGACAAAAGAACTAGTTAATGATCGATTTTAAAAATTGTTTCCCTTCTTTTTAACCTCTTTGCGGCCTTGATGTAATTTATCTACATATATACTAGTACGTGAATTAACTTGTGGCAGTCTTTGTTAATATGTTATGTGTTCAGGTATATTTTTTAAATCTAAGGTATAAATTATTAAAAAGAATATATATGCCGCCCCAAGAATGTTGCCGGGGCAATTTGTTATGTCCGTCTTTTGATTTGCCGCCATACTTTGCATTTAGCTCAGTTTCAAATTAGAAACTGTTCCAGTTGTTTTTACTTGAATGAAACTTCTCAAAATGCTCTTTTTTAAGGTTGGCCTTTTCGATGATTTCTGAATGGAATGTTCTATTCATTATTTACAAAACTTTAGTGTAAAGAAACTGGTAAAAAATAAATTGCGTAAAACTTCATGTCATAAAATTGTTCATGTTGCCTTACTCGTGAATCCTGGGCGGGGCATTGCTGACCTATGGACATATTTCTAGTTTATTGGATGTGTCTAAGAAAGAGGGCCAGGTTAACACGACGTTTTTCTGATATTGAGGCTAAAATTCATGTTAAAACTCTTAAAAAAATTTATTTGATAATCTGCTTTTTAACAAAAAAAAATTACATGTATAATTATATTATATATTATGTATAATGATTTGAATTTAAACATTGCAATATTGAATTTGTACAGTTATTCATAAAATTATATTGTGCTACATTGTCATATTAGATTTATATATTCTAAAAAGTAAGTACATTTATATTTAATGTATATATGTTTAAGTTATACATATTCAGACCTTCACTTTTGGTCTTCTCACTTGGCAATACTATTGTTTCTTTTTCTCACTTGGCAATACTATTGTGTTTGTTTATAATATTAATGTATATTAGATAACTGAAAGTACCCGGGTATTTTCTTTCTTTTGGTGCAATCCATAAACTTTTAAAACTGTGCAAATATATTTTAATCTCTGTCATTTTAATTTTACAAGTCACAGATTCTATGTTTAAAACATTTGTCTTAAAAAAAAAAAACATGTCAAACGAAGTAAACATTTTGACAAAATGCGATAAAGCCGGAAATTTATGTTATTATTTAGAAACTTATCATCAGTGATTAAACCCACTGAAATTGTTGTATAAATATTGTCTCTAGTAGATTGAAAATTTTATATGTAACATTTGGAACTTACTATGTTTGAATGGTACTAATATTATGCTAGAATAACTCATTTTCGTCTTGTATAATTTTATATTGTAGCTCTGTTACATTCCGTTATGTGATCACGTGACTTCCTGTTGTCGTCACGTGACAATCTGTTGTCTCCCCTATTTTATTTTGTTTTTTTTTGGTTGTGATAGTTCGTTTTTTATTTACTACACATATCGTTGACCCTTTTTCACTTCTCTACTCAATGAATGTATATATTCCGTCCTATTTTTTCAGTGAAGGGAATGTATTTATTTTTTTGTTCTTTGAAAATCCTTTCAAACATTGTCTCAGTTTGTTGAAAATTATATTTCAGACTGAGTTTATCTATCTACAATTGTAATTATAATATACAATATATATTTTATTAGTTATTTTAAAGAGAATAAAAATATTTTCATATTAAAGGTTAATTACTAATAAAGATTACTACAACATGATTTAGCTGTTTCTTTATTCAAACAGGTATTTGTCTCTATGTTTTATATTTGTGCCTGTAATGTTATCGTGTTGGAGTCGTTTGTCCGTCTGTTTGTGTGAAGTTGACAGCTCTATACTTACCTGTGTTTACGTCTTTGTTTTATGGTCTTCTTTGAGTGTATTGTCTGTCGGATTATCGACCGGGCCCCACGCTAATCCCTGTTTATGTTTGTGTCGTCCTGTTACATTTCTACACAGAACACTTTCATCTTACAGAGTTGTTCAAAGAAGGTAAAACATTTATCATTTTTTCCTGGGTCCGTTAAGGCCGGTTTACACTATGCATCTTGACACATGCATCTAAACTCGTGCTTCAATTTTGCCTCATGCATCTTCTTATTTACACTATGTGTCTTGATGCATGCATCTTTAGAATACTTTGTAAAGATGAAATTTCTCTACTTAAAAAAAATAACAGTACCTTCAAATTTCATTTCCATATTTATTTTAGCTGAACAAATTATTCTTAATTTCCTTTTTATGACAATTCTTGGAAGATATTATTTCATATTTATTCCAAAACAAAATTTCCTCTATATTATAATAATCAAATAAGTTTTTCTAATTGTAGTTTTTATCAGTATTTTGTGCTATTTTTGAAACTAAATGAAAAAAATAAGGTTTATGATTCAATATCAACTCTGACCTTTCTTTTCATTGGTCAGTTCCATGCATCTTGAAGCACGGAATAGAACAAGTTCTATTCCATCGTTCAAGATGCAACACCCATTTAATTTGACACAAGGGGCTTTTAAGGCCGGTTTACACTATGCATCTTGAAGCATGCATCTTGGATGCATGTGTCAAGATTCACAGTGTAAAAGCCCCTTGTGTCAAATTAAATGGGTGTTGCATCTTGAACGATGGAATAGAACTTGTTCTATTCCGTGCTTCAAGATGTATGGAACTGACCAATGAAAAGAAAGGTCAGAGTTGATATTGAATCATGAGCCTTATTTTTTTCATATACTTTCAAAAATAGCTTCCCAAGATACACAAAAACAGAAAATACTGATTAAAACTACAATTATAAAAACTTATTTGATTATGATAATATAGAGGAGTTTTTGTTTTGGAATAAATATAAATTATATCTTCCAAGAATTATCATAAAAAGGAAATTAAGAATGATTTGTTCAGCTAAAATAAATCTGGAAATGAATTTTGAAGGTATTGTTATTTTTTTTTCAAAGTATTCTAAAGATTTCCATAGTGTAAATAAGAAGATGCATGAGGCAAAATTGAAGCATGAGTTTAGATGCATGTGTCAAGATGCATAGTGTAAGAGGTGTACCAGCAATGTATTGTATAATGTAAACTCTTATAAAGATTTTTTATTTAAATAATGAAATTTTCTATATTATTTTAAAAGAAAAAATAAATTGATTTCGCTGTAACTTTGATTATTTTCTTTCCAATTTTCAAACAGTCTTTATATGCCGCTTTGATGTTTGAGCGTGGCAGTATATCACAGGGGCCGACAATTACAGGTAAGAAACTGAGTCAACACCGTCTGACTATATAATAACTCATAATCTGTAGACTTAGATCGCCTTTTCATATTTCGGGGTATTAGCTCCATCTTTGATGAGATGTTCGTTCACGAGCAAGTGTGAAAATGAAGAGAGCATTCAAAGATTCCTGCCTACACCTTGTGTTTACTTTCGCTAATGACGCGATAATGTAAAAACTTATATCTCAATTAAACCACTGTTCTATGTTTGTATATTTCTTTTCTTTAATGTCGGTACACACAGTGAGCTTCATCAAGACGTTGTTTGTCGAGAGTAAACACGGGTACACAGGGGTCCAGAGTCTGTTTCCGGGGATCGTGCTTGCCAGGGGAAATTCCTTAATCAGCCTGCCTTTATACATTCTTTTCATCATTAACACACTTAAATCTGTTATTCTGATCCGAAAAGAAGGATTCAGCTTGAGTTATTCAAGTCCCTCAAATACTGAGCAAAAATTATAACAGGCACCAATGATTAGTATGATTTTTTAAATTAGATTATAACTTGATAAAATAAACGCTTTATTTTTATGAAACAGAAATGGTGAAACAAATTTTCTCGCCGTATAAACCAGTATTCTTTTTATTATTTATAATATTATCATGAAATTAATTCATTTTCCAAGAAAATAAAATGGTGAGAACCAATTTGTTGTAGTCGTGACGCTAATCCGAGATTTATGTAAAACTGTTTGCAGTATGACGATATTAGTGATGGATCGGCAGAGAACGGTTTTGCCGATAACGTTATAAACGGTCAATTTAATTATTCATTATGCAAGTTCCAAAGACAAATTACATATCAAAAATTCTGCGAGGAAGTGTCAGGAAGCAGTCTTCAATAAAGCTATTCCCTCTGGTGGTATTGCTTGAATATTGCAATAGGAAAATGCACAAGTGCGTAATATGTTAGCGATTTCAGAGCCCTAGCGACAAAATTGGTGAAATTAATTAATATTTTTTAGTTTCCGTGGGGCAAAAATGTCGGTGTTTTATTAAAGTAGGAAAAACGATCCCAGGTTATTGGTTTGTTAGCAGTTTAATATCTTTATTTAATTAATATATGGTTTAATCGCTTGCACCCGTCTCGCAAAGGGACTTAATTCACTTGTAGGCTTTTATCGGTGACAATTTGACGCCTTCCCGGGTCTGGAAAACCAACAACATCGTCTGATATTCATTAATGATATCTGTTTTCAAATGGTGTTAAAGGGGGCGCTACAAGTGGAAACGCTTTTTTAATTAAAAGAACACGATTGTATCTTTTTATCTCCTTCTTCTATATGGAGCTGCAGTCACGCACAAATTTCCGTAATATTAGTTTAGCACTTGGACTTGTCCATCAGATCTAGTGGTTTCTGATTTTATATGGATTAATGCATTAAATTCCATATTTTCTGACTGATAGAAATCATAACGATTTGATATCATTATACCCCCGCTTGAAAATGGGGAGGGTATATGGTGATCGAAGTGTCCGTCCGTCCGTCTGTCACGCTTTTGGGTACCCATCTCTAATCCGCAACTCATCTTAAACCACTGAATGAAATTACATGAAACCTTCACAGAATCTTTGCTACATAGTGCCATTGCTCATCTTTTATTTTACTTTTTGATCCGACACATATTTTGGGTTTCAGAGCAAAACATTGACGTGCCACTCTTTCTATAATATTTAAGGGTATCCATCTCTTATCCGCAACTCCTCCTATACCACTGAATAAAATTTAACGATACTTTCACAGATTCCTTATTATACAATGCCATCACCTCCTATTTTACTTTTGATATGAAACTTATTTGGGTCTCCCATAGCAAAACATGGACTTCGCCATTATAATCATATAGGAGGCGGGTGTCATTTTGTGAGCTCAGTGCTCACAGTACCTCTAGTTTTGTTTTGTTTTTTGTTAATAAAGAAGATTGCAAAGATTGCAGAATCTTACATGTACAGTTCGTTACCTCTCGCTAGAAATAGGTCTACCAGTCAGATAACTCAAAAATACCGGGTAATTAATGGTTTTATAATATTTATACAGTTTGTTAACATGTACAGGGTTTTTTTTTTTTTAAATTGTAAACCGAAAATACGTAAACTTCGTTTTAGAAAAATGTGTAAAGGTACCGTAAAGAAATAACGCATGGCATGTCCGCGCGTGAATTACCCGGCAATGACGCTGAAGTGAGAATTTGTTTTGTTTAGAAAAGGTTGCCAATTAAAAACAATATTGTGTTTGCGCGAAGAATGAGAGTTTATAAAAGGAGTTGAAGATGTATGTGTTTCGGATAAGAACTAACGAAGTACGAGTTGGACACCCGACTTTATTTTCACTGTACAATAATCGTTAGAACTGTTTGTCTTTTGTCCTCACACGTTTGTAAGCTGTTAGAAAAGATTAATAATCTGCTAAATAACCAAACGCTTTTATAAGTAATCGTTGTTTGCCTTTGCTTGAAAGTGTTGTCTTTAAACGTGCAAATCTCTACATTTATATTGCCAGGAAAAGTGGAGGGCTCTAAATTTGAATTCTCATTAAAGTTGATCTGAAATTCAAATATTAGCGCCTGCCAATTGCCGGGGTTTACAACGTGCAGTCTACTGCCATAGAGAGACAGCTTGTTATGGAAGATTATCTGTCAATGCCTATAACACTTCTTATATTTAGACATTTCTCTTTCAAGCACTTGATTTAATATTGACCCAAAAATATTTTTATTTGGATTATGATAAACTTAAAAGTGCATTTAGTTGTTTTTATCTCAGAACTTGACTATTTAAGTGTAAGGATGTGTAAATTACGATCGACGAAAGAGTGCGTACAAGAAAGAGAAAAATAACAATATCAACATTTTAACAAATAACTTAAATTAATGAATCATAAGGCAATTTCCTCTAAACCACGAAGGTACCAAAAATCAAAACAACTGAAATAATTTCCTTATTTTCATCTTTCAATTTTTTTTAAAAGTGCAATTCTTAACGAGGTAATCGTTACAAAGCAGAAATTGGGGGTAGAATAAGGAGAGTGAATATTAAACACCTGCAGGCATGTTCATGAAGCTATCTTAGGACTATGGTGTGTCCTAAGAACGTCTTAGGAAATGTCCTAGTCTTAAGTCAGTTTCTCGAAGCTTTCCTAAATTTAAGAACTTTCCTAAGTTTTTCCTAACTTTAGGACAGCATAATACCTGTCCTAAGATCATCCTAACTTAAAGTTTGTTTTGATGCTTATGGAAAGCCATAGGGGACCCCCATGTCATGTTCTATATATTTCATTGAAAAACGATCTTGACCTGGTCATGTTATCAATCCTGACCATGTCAAGATTTAAACATGACCAAGTCAGGATTTTTACCATCTTGACCTGGTCAGGATTGATAACATGACCATCCTATCCTGACCAAGTCATGTTTCAATGTTGACCAAGTCAAGATTGGTAACATGGCCATCTTATCCTGACCAAGTCAGGATTTACAACATGGCCATCCTATCTTGGCCAGGTCATGATTCAATCTTGACCAAGTCAGGATTGATAACATGGCTTAGTCAGGATTGATAACACGACCAAGTCAAGATTGACAACATGGCCATCCTATCTTGGCCAGGTCAGGATTGAACATGGCGCAGTCAAGATTGATAACATGGCCAAGTCAAGATTGATAACATGACCATCCGGTCTTGGCCAGGTCAGGATTGATAACATGGCCAAGTCAAGATTGATAACATGGCCAAGTCAAGATTGATAACATGACCATCCAATCTTAGCCGGGTCGGGTCATGATTCAATGTTGACCGAGTCAGGATTGACAACATGACCATCTATCTTGGTCGGTCATGATTGCATTGCGCCAGCATATATTACTTCCAAACGCAGTCAAGATTTCTTCAAGCGTCAATCCTGGCCAAGTCGGGATGCAATGTCAAGCGTCAATCTTGGCTTAGTCATGATGTGTTTTTCAAACGCAGGCAAGATTTATGGTCATGATTGCATTGCGCCAGGATGTATGACTTCCAAGCGCTGTCAAGATTGCAAATGCAAAGCGCTTCCCTAACAACGAAAACCCGCTAAAAACATGAAAAATGTGTATTGGATTTGCTCCTCAGCTGACAGTGACAAATAACGTAAGTACAGGTGAATTTTTCCTTGTATGAATATCTTGGTTTGTTGTTCTAATTATGTAGTTTATGCAATATCTATTTTAAATAAGTGATATGAACAGCATTTCAAATAATCGAAAACATTCTGCAGTTTTCATCGAGGAAATTCGAATTTGTGTATCGACAAATTAGTAATTCTGTGAAATTATGAACTTAAACAAATAACGTTTCGTATGATCCGTTAAGAATCAAGTTGTTTACAATATACTTTCATAAGAATTTACGTATATTCAAGTGCAAATTATAGAACTTTTGGGGTGTAAAAACGAAGGGGGTGGGCTTTGTCCTGCTAATCGGTATACCGATAGACTGTGCATTATATTTTTACAATATTTCAATTGATCCTTTATTTACTTTTCTTCTCTTAGTACTAGGTTGCAGTGACTAGGTTGTACTGAACCATCAACAAAACTCCAGATATCCATGGCGCATACAATATTTTAAGATTGGTTAAAGACCTACAGGTAGGTATATTCTTTCATGTCTTGTAATTAATTCTTTTTTATTATTTGCAGATAATTTACATGACTAATTCATCCATATTAAAAAATTATAAATGTAACTATTTATAGTATCTCAGATTGACACATGCTGACTGGAGTCTATGGCTATGGGAACCATTTTGCAGTAATTAAGAATGTGCAGGAGAAAGTGGTACACTTCATTTCAATCGCATCTTTCGACAAGCGGAAATCCATGGTCTACCTTGAATAAGTTTATTTGGCACCAAGACAACCTTTCTCCAAGGTCAAAGATCAAAGGCCAGAAGTGATGTCAGCTGGAAAGACACCACATTGGGTATTGAATTTGTATTTTTATATACTCTCTTTTATTAGCTTCAGTGATTTTTTTCATTTTGTAATTTTTAATTTACACACACTCGGTGATGTTAATACATTCAAGGTGTTTTTTCGAGCTTGACAAAGGCTCGAGAAGATGCAATTGACTATTCATTTATAAGCATTTTATATCTTCAACTTGACTATCCACATTCAAAACAATCATTTATAGTGGAAATACAGATATATTTTGTTTTCAATGTCAAGGTCAAAGATCAAAGGCCAGAACTGATGTCAGCTGGAAAAATACCACATTGTGTATTGGATTTGCAAGATATTTAATCAATGCACCACTTTCAAGTTCAAAGGTCAGTAATAAATTGACAACTTGCATTTTTAGTTCACCTGAGTAAACTCAGGTAACCTATTGCTATCCGTTTTCATCCATCGCCCTGCGCTCTGCGTTAAAATTTGAACAGGTTCTTCTCAGCAACTACTCCACCAATTTCAACCAAATTTGGCACAAAGCATCTATGGGTAAAGGGGAACAAAAATTCTGAATTTCATGTTCCCTGCCCCCTGGGGCCTGAAGGGTGGAGCCAAAGCCACTAAAATTAATGCAATCTTTAAAAATATTCTTCTTAACTTCTAGACATTAAGCAGTCATACTCTTGGCATGATTGTAATCTTACCATTGAGTCAGTATACCAAAATTGTAAAATTCATGGCCCCAGGGTCAGGGGTTCTAATGCTAGGGTGGGACTAAATAGATTATATAGTGAAAATGTAATATTTCTTTAAAAAATCTTTAAATAACTAACCAAGTACATAGTTATGTTGAATAAGGATGCCTCTTCCAAAATTGCAAATCTCATTGCCCCTGGGTCAGGGGTTCTAGTGTTAGGGCGGGGCTCTATTGATTATATAGTGAAATTGCAATTTAAAATCTTCTTCCCTGCGCTTGGGCACATGTATTGAATAAACTAACCAAACAAAAAGTTATAATGAGCAAGAACGTGTCTTCCAAAAATGTGAATTTCATGGCCCCAAGGAGAAGGGTTCTAGTGTTAGTGTTGGCTCTATTGATTATATATGAGAGTACACCAATTCTTTAAACAATTTTCCTTTGCTCCTGGGTATTAAACCAATAACGTTGTTATGATGAGGAAGGATGCCTTTTCATGGCCCCTGGGTCAGGGTTTCTGGTGTAGGGGTTGGGGGCTCTAATGATTATATACATAAATGCATGAATTCTTTGAAAATCCATTCCTTTGCTACTGGGTACTATGCGAGTGATCTAAGTACATATTTTAGATGAAGAATGATGCCTCTTCCAAAATGATTTATGTCAGAACCCTCGGGTCAGGGGTAATCAGGGAGGGGGGGGGGGGGTTTACATATTCTGAAAATAAATCAATGCTTTGAAATCTGCTCTTTAGTATTAATCAACCATTTATGATGAGTGAAGATATGTCTTTTAAAAATTTTTAAAACATGTGGCCCCAGGGTCAGTGGTTCCTGTGGGGTGGGATGCACAACTGGTTATAAAGTGGAAATGCATTTTCTTTTTGTTACTCTGATATACCTCTGGGTATTAAGTAACCAAAGTAAGCATGCTGAGTGTAGAGTTATGATAAGCAACGGTGCCTCTTTCAAAATTGTTAATTTCATGGCTTCTGGTTTAAAACACGAACCAAATTCAATTGTTGGAAAGTTGTTGCATGATTCTCAGGTGACCTATAAGGTCCATGGGCCTCTTGTTATTTTTCAATAATTATGTGTACATATTCTGTAAAAGGCTATCAAGAGCCTTCATTTGAATTTGAAATGCTAACTACAATAAAAGATAATTCTTATATTTTACAGGATTGATATGGAAGCCTGGATGTTTAGCTATGCCAGCGGTTTCATTCCCTGTGGATATTATGTGGACATTGATGGCCATTGGGTGCTTGATGCAATGCAATGATGACATTTTGTAGACTGTAGAATTCACTTGCATATTATGACAAGAGATTGCCTTGGAAGAACAATCTGAGTTGAGTTTAGCTAGTTTTAATTTTTTTAAATCAATGTATTTTTGTCAAAATTTGTATGCTGATGAGAGCCATTAAAATGTATAAATATTTTTTTATCTTGACCTTTTTTGAACTCACTTTTTTTCAAATTTGTTTTAGTGTAGATTCAAAGAAACTCTTTCAGATTGTCTTTTTTTCCTATTTAAGCTAAAGCAAGCATACATTATCAACTGTGTCCATTTTTTATCTTGACCTTTCAAGTGTCCTTTGAATTTACTGTATCATTTATTGTACATTAAACTCAGTTTATTCAATCTTTTCAATTTTTTTTTTTGTCATCTTCATATACCAGTCAAATACAAATTTTCTTATTGCATTAATAGTTAGTTTTCATATGCTGTGCCCGTCCTTAGGAAGAGACCTTATGCATTAACCTAGGTCCCGTGTCGCAGTAGGTGCTGGCACGAAAAAGATCCCTCCTTGCTCAATGGCCCTGTGTGCCCAGTATAGTACAAAATTTGCAGCTCTCCACTGGCAACTGGTGGCATCTCCATATAAGTGAAAAATTCTCGAGAGGAACATTAAACCAAATATACACCCATCATATGATTGTTAAAAGGGATATCAAAACTGGTTTTTTGATATTGTACATTTATTGTATTGTCCACTGCTTTTGCAAAAGTGAAGGGACATTAAATCTCATTGGTTTGTTAGTCTATTACCTGTGACAAAACCTTTCTAAATACACTATCATTTGTAACCTTGAAGTTTGACCTACTTTTCACAAACTTTAACCTTGATCATGACTTTTAAATGAGGAGAGTCTGAAGAGATAAGGCTTTAATATTAAATTTGTATAATGCCTGTGACAAGACCTTTCTAAATACAATATGATTTTTGATCTTGTGACCTTGACCTACTTTTCCTTATCTTTCGATTGACAGGAGATAGGGCTTTCATATTTGACATGGGCACTACTTGTGACAATGTATTACTGAGCATGCTATGATTTCTGACCACATGACCTTCAAGATTGACCTAATTTTCAAATTATCAATTTTGGCGATAATTTTTGAATGACATATGACAGGGCTTTCATATTTGACTTTTATAACTTCATATCAGTGATTTATTATTCCAATTTCTCGTAGATCTGTTTTCGAGTAGTGATTCGTAATCTCTAGGGGGTGGGGGTCAAAGGTCACTTTTACTTGGTTTAGTATATATTTCCAGAGACCCCTTTAGATCTGTGCATGCTGTGCCAAATTTGACAATATAGTGTTCCTTGAGATATGGCCCTTATTCCAAAAGTTTATGCACACTGCACAAATGGCCACAGACTTAGCTCAAAAGAGCTAAACAAAAATAATGAGAGAATAATACTGGTAAAATATTTTTTAATTTACATTATTTATGCCAAGAAAACAAAATGATTTGATATACATAAAACACATATACATTTAACAAAAGGCACATGTCATGGGCCCACAAAGCTCACATGAGTTTCTTCAGAAAAAATATATATACTAGGGTATTATTTTTTTTTTATTCTTATTCAAAAATTTGATCTAACTTCATTACCAAATGTGTCCTCATAGATACAGCAAAACTCAGTTATAACGAAGTCGCTGGGAACTATGAAATTACTTCGCTATATCCTTAATTCGTTATAACCTTATATGAAACTCAGGAAATTTATACAGCTGGGGATCCAAGATGACTTCGCTATATCTGTGAATTTGCAATATCCGTGTTCATACTAAACGAGTTTTACTGTATTTGCTCTACCCTTAGGATGCTTAAATAACTAGAAAACTGACCAGTCATCACTCAGCAAAGGCCCCTCCAAGGGGTAGAATTATAAGGGTGCAGCTTACGATTAAAAAATGTACAAAAAAGCGACAGCAACTGTATTCTTAAAATTTCAAGATAATTCCTGAATATTAGTAAAGAACAGCTTAACATTGAAATGTATATTTAAACAATAATGAAGCTTATGTTATATAAAAAATGCCAGCCTTCAATGAATGCAAATACATATCATGAAGGCTTGACCCTAAGTTCAAAATAAACAGCAGTTGCAGACAAAGGTTTTCATTAATCTTTAAGTAACTTAGTGACAGATAAAGAAAAGCCTACTAAATTTTCTGCAGTAGGCTAGATAATTAATCCCATGGGATTATTTGTACCTCTCTCATCATTTTCTTCTAAAGTTACAATAAGAACTTTTTCAGTATTATAGGTAGAATGGGGTTTTTATACAACTACCTTAAAAATTAATAATATTCTTGAATTTACGTGAAGTGGGAAAAAAATTTTTATCTTCTTTAATCTATTTCTTGTTTTTAGAATTCAATGAAATCATAATTATTTTAACAAAAATAAAGTAGAAACATTTATAGATAAATCCACATTTCAGAGTGTTCATAGCATTCCAGATTGACTTAACTTCATTAGCAGACAGAGGTGGAAATTAATCTCAATGTGACAAATAAAGATAATGCTTTGGGTTTTCTTCAGGAGGAGAGCTAATTAATCCCAAGGGACTCATAGCAGCATTCAGTTTACAATTGGAACATCTTCAGAAATTATCTCTCTTTGCCAATGCATTTTTATATAAAGTTAAGGAATCTACCCCACCACCCCAGCTCCAAACCAGGGGACATAGAGAAACAAACTTAGCATCAAAATATGTCTTTCTGCCTATTGAACTACCGTACCAAATTTGATCTTAATTGGGCAACCTTAAAAAAAGTTATTAGGAAAAAACAGAAAATTTGTGGACGGAAGAGTGACAGACGGACAGACAGACGGACAGACGGAGTGATTACTATAGGGCACCCGCAAATCCTTGCGGGGCCCTAATTAATCCACTGAAAACTGACTAATTTTTTTTTAGCCTCATCATCCTCCGGGTGCATATTTCGATGAAAATCTTTCTTTTTTTTCCAAAAGACTTTAAATACTGGCCCCTTTGATCTTAAAAAAACTTCTCCGCCTTCCCATGTAAAAGTTTTATCCCCTTCTATGGACATGCTACACCTGGTTACCATGATATGAATAATTCAGAATTTATTCATACCTTAAACCATATAAGCAAAATTTTAATCAAGTATTTAGTTGTAAAATTATCATAGAGATGCTGGATCACTTAAGTTGAACATCTCTAAAATTAAAAGCGTTTTATATCAAACAGTGGTTCTAAAGACTGAAAGACTAAGAGGCCCAAGGCCACATCACTCATCTCTGTACTTTGGCCATGCTGTTCTTAATCAGATTTCCACACCAGAGTATACCCATTGTGGCCCTGCCCTTTTCCCAGAATTCATGATTTCACAAGAGTACTTTCAAACAAGTTTCAGCTTTTCTGGCTTAGTGGTTCTTGAAAAGAAGGGGTTTTTTTTTATGATCCCACCCTATTTTTATCTTTTTTTGATAATTTCTCCCTATAAGGGTACTTAGCCCTTCATTTTAACAAATCTTTAATTTCATTTTACACAAGGATGTTTTGTATTAAGTTTGGTTAAAATTAGCCCAGTGGTTCTGTTGAGAAGAAGATGAAAATGTGAAAAGTTTACATACAGAGGAATGGAGAGACGAACGAACAACAGGTGATCAGAAAAGCTCACTTCATGCCTGGAGACCAGTACAGACTGAAGTCAAAATTTCAATTTTGAATAACTTTTTATTAATGACATATTCATCATCAAAAATGTGCAGGTTTGTATAAATAATCCAATTTATACATTAGTAAAAATTTTGCTTTGTTATCAAATATTTTTCAAAATCCAGGTCTCTGATGAGACTGTAGCTCTACTGGTCTGTATGTGTATAAAAAGAAAAGTGGCACTTGGTTTGACTTTTCAACAGGCAGAAATAAATAGAACTAGTTTTAATTGTAACGGGGACCGTTACAGATGTTCCCCAAACGCTCCCCAAATCCCTTTTTGTGCCATTTTCCTGTACGACATTTTTAAAATATGCTCATTATCAAAGAATTTCATATAAGAATTATTAAAGCTACAATGATATCAACTATATTTTATTTAACTCATTGCACGCGCACGCACGTGCATGCACATGCAAGATGATCACAACATGTTGTCTTAACCATAAACATTTCTTTGTGTCGTGAGAATCAATAAGACAAATCATAAAAAATATAAATGTTACCATTTTTCAAATATATTGGTCATTTTGCATATTGAGCGCGTGCACTTGCATGCATGCTTGTCCTTGCATTCCATTTTGATAGTAGCATAATGTAGTAATCCATCATACCTATTCATATTCTAAATTTCATCCCGTTTTGTTGAGAAACAAGAACGTTATAGGCATTTAAAGTTTCAGCCAATCAGATTGCAGCACATGTGCATGCGCATGCTTTTATGATAATTGTTATACATCATGCTGTAGATCTTCATTATGTATGACTATGTTCAAAATTTCAAAGGATTTTGTCAAAAAACAAGACAGATATTGAGAATTTAGTTTCAGCCAATCAGAGCAAAGCGCACGTGCATGCACGTGAGTTCTTGCTATTTTGACCATGTCATTATGTCTATACTACTAATATATCCTCACATTGTGAGTTTCAAAGCATTTCGTCAAAAAAAAATAGAAAAGTTGCGGCTATATCTTTTATATTGGTCATTTCACGTGTTGCACGTGCGCGCTCTTGCAAGCACGTGCGCGCAAAATGACCTTGATTCCGCAAATCTACATAACATGTCTACTGACCCTAAAAAGGTTTTACCTACATCGGATGAACAGTTTACAAGAACACTCCCGGACAAAAAAGTACCCAGGAAGAAGAAGAAGAAGAAGAAGAAAAATAATAATAACTAGTGCTAATTGTAACGGGAACCGTTACAGATGTTCCCCAAACGCTCCCCAACTGCCTTTTTGTGCCATATTCCCTCTAAGCCATACCTTCTTGTAGGAGGCCCTTAAATCTATCTATGTTCTAAATCTCATCCTGCTTGGTTGAAAATCAAGGGAGTTACAGCCATTTCAAGTTTCAGCCACTCAGAATGCAGCTCACGTGCATCCGCGTGATTTCATAATTTGTTTTCTAAATCATATTGTAGGATATTCTAATGCATGACTATGTTTTAAATTTCAAAGCATTTCGTCAAAAAACAACGGAGATATAGCCATTTAAAGTTTCAGCCAATCAGATTGCAGCACACGTGCATGCGCGTGATTTCTTGAAATTTTTTGAATATCATATTGCAGGATATCCTAATGCATGACTATGTTTGAAATTTCAAAGCATTTCTTCAAAAAACAAGGGAGTTATAGCCATTTAAAGTTTAAGCCAATCAGATTGCAGCGCACGTGCATGCGCGCATTTTCATGACAATTATTATATATCATATTGTAGGATATCTTAAAGTATGCCTATGTTTTAAATTTCAATGCATTTTGTAAAAAACAGAAAAGATATTGAGATTTTTGTTTCAGCCAATCAGAGCAAAGCGCACGTGCACGCACGTGCATGCATGTGAATGGTGACCATACCTTCTTATAGGAGGCCCTTATGTCTATCTATGTTCTAAATCCCATGCTGTTTGGTTGAAAACCAAGGGAGTTATACTCATTTAAAGTTTCAGCCAATCAGATTGCAGCGCACGTGCATGCGCGTGATTTCATGAAAAATTTAATATATCATATTGTAGTACATCCTAATGCATGTCTATGTTATAAATTTCAAAGCATTTCATCATAAAACAAAAAAGATATTAAGATTTCTGTTTCAGCCAATCAGAGCAAAGCGCACGTGCATGCGCGTGAGTTCATGTAAATTTGACCATGTCATCTTATCTACACAACTTATATATCTTTAAATAATGAGTTTCAAAACATTTTATCAAAAAATATAAAAGTTACAACCATATTAAATATATCAGTCATTTTACTCATTGCACGCGCCCGCACGTGCATGCGAATGCGCGCAAAATGACCTTCGTTCGGCACATCTACACAACATGCCTACTAACCCTAAAAAGGTTTTAACTTAGTTTGGTGAACAGTTTCTGAGAACACTTCTGGACAAAAAAGTACCGGAGAAGAAATAAGAAGAAAAAAGAATAATAATAATAATAATAACTAGTGCTAATTGTAACGGGGACCGTTACAGATGTTCCCCAAACGCTCCCCAACTCCCTTTTGGTGCCATATTCCCTGTAATCTCTATTTTATAAGAAATACTTTATGGAATTTAGACTTAATTAAGGTCTTCCCAGAAGAATACAAAATATATTTAAATTTAAGCATTGCACGCGTGTTCATGTGCGTTACGACCATATTATCTTGTCTACACTATCTATATATTTTTTATATACGTAATAACAAAGCATTTAATCCAAAAGTATTAAAAATTGCACTCAGTCGAGTGTATTTTAATTTAACGCCTTTCACGTGCAAGCACGTATGTGACGACTAGACCTTCTTGTAGGAGTCCCTTATATTTATCTCTGTTCTAAATCCCAACCTGTTTGGTTGAAAAACAAGGGAGTTATAGCCATTTGAAGTTTCAGCCAATCAAATTGCAGTATACATGCATGCACGTGATTTCATGAATTTTTATGTTTATCGTATTAAAGGTCATCTTAATGAATGACTATATTTCAATATTCCAAACATTTCGTCTCAAAACAAAGGAGATATAGCCATTTAAAGTTTAAGCCAATCAGATTGCAGCACACGTGCATGCGCGTGATTTCATGAATTTTTCCTATAACATATTGTAGGATATCCTAATGCATGACTATGTTTTAAATTTCAAAGCATTTCGTCCAAAAACAAAGGATATATAGCCATTTAAAGTTTCAGCCAATCAGATTCAAGCACGCGTGCATGCGCATGCTTGCATGAAAATTTCATATATCATGCTGTAGATCTTCATAATGTAGGACTATGTTCAAAATTTCAAATGATTATGACAAGAAACAAGAAAGATATTGAGACTTTAGTTTCAGCCAATCAGAGCGAAGCGCACGTGCATGCGCGTGAGATCTTGCTATTTTGACCATGCCATCGTGTCTATACTACTAATATATCCTTACATTATGAGTTTCAAAATATTTCATCAAAAAATAGAAAAGTTACGGCAATATCCATTATATTGGTCATTTTAAGTGTTGCACGTGCGCGCTCTTGCAAGCACGTGCGCGCAAAATGACCTTCGTTCGGCAAATCTACATAACATGTCTATTGACCCTAAAAACATTTTACCTTAGTCAGATGTGTAGTTTACAAGTTCACTCGTGGACAAAATTTTCCCAGGAAGAAGAAAAATAATAATAATAAGAAACAGAGTAAAAACAATATGTTCCCCAACTTCGTTTGGGGAACATAATAATAAGAAACAGAGTAAAAACAATATGTTCCCCAACTTCGTTTGGGGAACATAATAAGAAACAGAGTAAAAACAATATGTTCCCCAACTTCGTTTGGGGAACATAATTATGTATCTTTGTGTAGTGTACTTGTGCATGTTGTGTGCCAAATTATGTTGAAATCAAACCAAAATTGAAGGAGTTCGTTTTAAAGGAATTTCACAGAAATTTTGATTTTTAGTAACCATGGCAACACTTCATCGAAATCAAAAATTGATGCATTAAATTATGTATCCTAGTGTAGTCTACTTAAATGCTAAGTTATACTGAAATCAGACCAAAATTGTAGGAAGAGTAGCATTTTGAAGAAAATTTCACAGAAATTTTTATTTTTAGTAACCATGGCAACACCGTTCATCAAAATAAAAAAAAATGATGCACTGAACTATGTATCTTTGTATAGTCTACCTGTGTGCCAAGTTATATTGAAATCAGATGAAAACTGTAGGAGGAGTAGCATTTTGAAAAATTGTTTACAGACAGACGGACGGACAGCTAGACAGATGGACGACGTATGCCTTAATATCGCATAATCTCTTATGGTCTCTGACAGGTATAGCTAATTATATCCCTTTGAAATTTTAAGTTTGCTCTCAGTTTATAGTCTTAGGACCTTTCAGCTCAGGTGAGCTAAGAATTCTCTTGAGCTCAACATCTCATATCTGAGCTGAATTTTTGGGAAAAAATCAATAAAGGTTTCTTTTTTTATATATCAATTGTCAATTCTCTCACTATCTCAGAGGATAGCCTAAGCTTCTGCAACTGGTAAAGGCTTCATTTACTGCAAAAATCAGAAGGAAAAAATTAATCCATTTCAGTTCGTATTTTAAAGTTTGCAGAAAAATTAATCAGAAATATTTAAAATCTTTCTTTTCTGAAAATATTAGAATTTTTTAAAGGTTTTTCAATGCTGTTATATTTCAAACTTATAAGAACAATCTTTACAAACCTTTAAATTTGAAATTCAATAACTATTTCTGTTGAGTTCTTTTCTGTATGACCTACTAAGACTGTCCTCTTCTGGATTCAGCTGTATGTATAAATTAAGATTGATGAAATATTCAGCATTTCATGGAGTAGGCCTTGATGATACTAAAGTAAAAACAGCAAAGATGCAATATGTATCAAAAGGAATGTGTAAATTATCATACTGTGCACATTATATGTTAAACAGATGCCCATGGACCACAATGTTCACCTGTGTAACTATGGCCTTTCTCTTCTTCATCAGCATATTATTGTACAATATATTTCTTTCTCATAACATAATATGTTATGACCCTATCCTACATTTAGACTTAATGATTTGAACAAACTTGAATCAAAACATGGTCGAACAAAATAATTAGTTTGGGTCGGCTAAATTTTAAGTGTTACGTCTTATAGGCAAATGAAAACAGACATTTTTTGGGGGTTAAATTTAGGCCTTAAGGAATAAGTTTGTTCAGAAAAGATTATGTGAAGGTAGCAAATACAAAAGGATAAGATATAAAATGCAAGTTTTCAATTTATTGTCAATTTATTACTGACCTTTGAACTTGAAAGTGGTGCATTGATTAAATATCTTGCAAATCCAATACACAATGTGGTATTTTTCCAGCTGACATCAGTTCTGGCCTTTGATCTTTGACCTTGACATTGGAAACAAAATATATCTGTATTTCCACTATAAATGTTTGTTTGTTTTAAATGTAGATAGCCAAGTTGTAGTTATGAAATGCTTATAAATGAATAGTCAATTGCATCTTCTCGAGCCTTTGTCAAGCTCGGAAAAACACCTTGAATGAATTAACATCACCGAGTGTGTGTAAATTAAAAATTACAAAATGAAAAAAATCACTGAAGCTAATAAAAGAGAGTATATAAAAATACAAATTCAATACCCAATGTGGTGTTTTTCCAGCTGACATCACTTCTGGCCTTTGATCTTTGACCTTGGAGAAAGGTTGTCTTGGTGCCAAATAAACTTATTCCAGGTAGACCATGGATTTCCGCTTGTCGAAAGATGCGATTGAAATGAAGTGTACCACTTTCTCCTGCACATTCTTAATTACTGCAAAATGGTTCCCATAGCCATAGACTCCAGTCTGACAGCATGTGTCAATCTGAGATACTATAAATAGTTACATTTATAATTTTTTAATATGGATGAATTAGTCATGTAAATTATCTGCAAATAATAAAAAAGAATTAATTACAAGACATGAAAGAATATACCTACCTGTAGGTCTATAACCAATCTTAAAATATTGTATGCGCCATGGATATCTGGAGTTTTGTTGATGGTTCAGTACAACCTAGTCACTGCAACCTAGTACTAAGAGAAGAAAAGTAAATAAAGGATCAATTGAAATATTGTAAAAATATAATGCACAGTCTATCGGTATATCGATTAGCAGGACAAAGCCCACCCCCTCCGTTTTTACACCCCAAAAGTTCTATAATTTGCACTTGAATATACGTAAATTCTTATGAAAGTATATTGTAAACAACTTGATTCTTAACGGATCATACGAAACGTTATTTGTTTAAGTTCATAATTTCACAGAATTACTAATTTGTCGATACACAAATTCGAATTTCCTCGATGAAAACTGCAGAATGTTTTCGATTATTTGAAATGCTGTTCATATCACTTATTTAAAATAGATATTGCATAAACTACATAATTAGAACAACAAACTAAGATATTCATACAAGGAAAAATTCACCTGTACTTACGTTATTTGTCACTGTCAGCTGAGGAGCAAATCCAATACACATTTTTTAGCGGGTTTTCGTTGTTAGGGAAGCGCTTGCATTTGCAATCTTGACAGCGCTTGGAAGTCATACATCCTGGCGCAATGCAATCATGACCATAAATCTTGCCTGCGTTTGAAAAACACATCATGACTAAGCCAAGATTGACGCTTGACATTGCATCCCGACTTGGCCAGGATTGACGCTTGAAGAAATCTTGACTGCGTTTGGAAGTAATATATGCTGGCGCAATGCAATCATGACCGACCAAGATAGATGGTCATGTTGTCAATCCTGACTCGGTCAACATTGAATCATGACCCGACCCGGCTAAGATTGGATGGTCATGTTATCAATCTTGACTTGGCCATGTTATCAATCTTGACTTGGCCATGTTATCAATCTTGACTGCGCCATGTTCAATCCTGACCTGGCCAAGATAGGATGGCCATGTTGTCAATCTTGACTTGGTCGTGTTATCAATCCTGACTAAGCCATGTTATCAATCCTGACTTGGTCAAGATTGAATCATGACCTGGCCAAGATAGGATGGCCATGTTGTAAATCCTGACTTGGTCAGGATAAGATGGCCATGTTACCAATCTTGACTTGGTCAACATTGAAACATGACTTGGTCAGGATAGGATGGTCATGTTATCAATCCTGACCAGGTCAAGATGGTAAAAATCCTGACTTGGTCATGTTTAAATCTTGACATGGTCAGGATTGATAACATGACCAGGTCAAGATCGTTTTTCAATGAAATATATAGAACATGACATGGGGGTCCCCTATGGCTTTCCATAGATGCTTTTGATTTTGGACATTGCAAGTATCAGCGGTAATTTCTTGTTTCTCAGCAGTCCGTGTATGAGCTGATGATTTACACAAATAATTAAACAAGAAGTGTTACCAATAGGCCTCTTTTCATATATGCTATAAATTTCGCATGTGCTGTTCCGGATATTACCTAATACAAATTTTGGATATTATTATAATGAATATTTTCGGTATTGGTTAGAGAAATATAATACAACGCTCCTCGGGCGACGAAGTGTGGGGGGGGGGGGGGGGGGGGCTTTTATTATCGGTCGATCTGCCCATTGCATATCAAATACAAAGTAATTGAAGACAAATAAGGTTATTTAAATGAGGGTAATGTTGGAATGAAAAAAAGACTATGAAAGAAGTTGAAACCTAGACCCCGCCCTCTCTCTCTCTCTCTCTCTCTCTCTCCAAAATAGGATTTTCGAGTTTGGACAATATTCTTTCCCTTTTTTTATTGTCTAGTTTTCTCACGTCAGTTAAATTTTTTCTCGCCCCCCCCCCCTTTCATGACCATTGTTATGTGACTGTCAAAGACATTCATCACAAACGTTGTATTATGACCGCCACCCCACCCCTTCTTATGTTTAAAATGTCATAATACATTGTGCGAATATATAAACAAATACCCCCTCTTTCATATGCTAATGATTGGTCTATAGATACAGATACAGTACAACTTATGATCATTCTAACATGACTTTTTTGCGATATACATATTCGTCATTTATCAAAACTTCCATCATAGATTAATACCAATAAACTTGTGAATAAAATAAGGAGGGGCCAGCCATCCACCCCCTATTATGAGACAACGAAGCTATCGACATGTTCTAATTTTTTAATTAACCGGTTGAGAGAACATACAAAATTTTAAAAAAAATTGTCATTCAAATATTTAAACTGTTGAGAGTTTTATAATTCAAGAATAAAATGTTGGCTTTAAACTAGTGTTTTCCCTGATTGAATACTTTTTTAGTGTCCTACAAAATTCATTTTACTTTCAATCAGCTTATTTATCAAAAAAATTAAGTAAACTTTTATAAAACTTCATAACATAATCATCATCAAGGTAGATCACTCAGAGGTTATTATTTTTTAAACTATCAATCTTAATTACAATTTGTTTGTTACAATACGATTTACAAGCGGTATTAAATATTTTATAATATCAACAAAAAAAATGCAAACATTAAAATATACTGAGGTCATATGGAAATATAAATGGATTTCCTTTTCTAATGTTACATGTATTAATTTCTTTCCCGTAAAATGTCTCCAAAAATATACATTTATCGATAAATGTTTAAGAAAAAATTGTTCATTGTAAGTTAGGATGTCCTAACTTAAGATGTTCCTAAGTCACCGTCGAGATACATCTTATGATATGTCCTAAGTTGATCTTAGGATGTTCCTAAGTTTCTTCCTAAGTCATATCTTAGGAATAGTCTTAGGACAAATCTTAGGAAAGTTTCATGAACATGCCTGCTGGGCAAGGTAGTTGTGTGGTCTACTGTAACGTGTTAAAGCTGGCCACGGGCTATTTGTCTATTACGACACCTAATAAAACGGTTAACACCACTTCATACTTCCGACTATAATATCCCGTCAAACAGTCAATGAAGATCCCACCCGAAACTCCGACCGCATCTCGCCGACCTAACCTTTGTTCTCTGGCCCAGATCTTTAAATTTGATGAAAAAGTAATTAAAATCTTTTCATGCTCTTTAAATGTTGTTGTTAATCTTCGTTTCTCGTTTTTGACCCGTCCGAATTTTTTTTTCTGAACACCCACGATACGTTTTTCCTGAATGCCATCTGTTAAGAGTGTCCTGTTTCGAAATAGTCACAGAATTTTACCTTTACCCAGTACTACCATTTATAAATGATCATGACATCTCTTCTTTTAAGTGCATTAAATTCTGATCAGGAAGCACACCTCTTTATAGTGTTATTTCTAAATGGAGAGCAAATCACATACCTTTTATTCGAATGATAAAGGATATTATCAGATCTTCACATTATACTAAATAGGAATCCAATATAACCCTTAGATCATCTTATTGGTGATTTTATTATTAATATATTAAAATCTCTTTTTACAGATTTTTTTTGTGCACGGTTTAGATTATATATCTTTCCAACATCTTATTACAGGTATAAGGAAATATTTCTTCAAAGTAACAGAACATCCTTTCAAATGCATTTAACAATTCTGAACTTACAAGATGTGAATCCGACATAGCTTAATGTTATACAAATGCTCAATGATGAATTCTAAATTGCAAAAAAGTAAAACATAGACTCAATTTTTGTATTATTTAGTGTACATGTATGACTATTAATTGAAAGACTGAATTTTTTTTAATAGAATAATAATTAAAAAAATATCTGATTTCTTTGATCATGAGTTCACATGCGTAGAACTGTTTTAAACGTGTATGAGGGCGAAGTCAGTGGAATTAAGGGTGGCCCAAAGCAGAAACACAAACAAGAGTACCCCGATCCCGACTCAAGAGGTAGTACTCTCAGTTCAAATGACCACAAATCTGTAGGCCTTTATCCCATATTGAATTTCATTATGCAAGAAACAAACCGCAGTGTGATGTTATTGGTTCCCCGCACGTCACCAAAGTGCACCCAAAATTCGGTCACATCAGCCGAGGGTGTCATAAATAGTTATGTGTTTAGGACCCTGTTTTGTGTTTTATTGCATCTAGAGTATTTTCCGCTCTGTTTTTGTGAGAAAAAAATATAATAAACTTTTACCTATAAGAAATGAGGATAAATATACTAAATTTAAAGGGTCAAATGACAACATACAATAGTAACAAGAAACCGCTGCCTTCTATACCGGTATATCATAATATCATACTACATGTAAATCGTAAATGGACTTCCTAAGACTTCCTGAAGCAGGCCCCCCACACACCAGAATCCCTATGCTCACCACGGTGCCACCAAATTTATAATGTGAACAGGTCCCAGGCCTGCTCAAGGGAAAGGACTGGCGAGGAAATTACCTCACTTTCAATGGATACGCAGTCACCAAGGGTCCAAGTGATAATTGATGCATGTACTATCAACTAGAACTGAACAAATTTAATTTTTCAGAAATTGACAGAAATTCATGATCGAAGAGCCAAAATGCTCCTGCGCGAGAGCCTTGGTCTCTACCACAGCGAATTGAGTCGCCTAAACTATATGCAGCGGTTAAGACACTCAAGATAGAGGACAAGACTGAAAAGAACCTACGAAGACAAGACATCAGATGTTACAGACTTTATTCTGATAAGTTTACAAATGAACAAACAATGTACATGCAATTAGCAATTTACATGTAGCATTCATGTAACTAAATGTGGTAATTTGAAACCATTTGAATACTGTAGACTTTACAAGTTGTGAGACACATAAAAAAGAAGCAAAGTTGATAAATTGGAAAAAAAAAAAAACAATTGAGAGAATAATTAAAGGCATTTTTGCCTGGTGTTTAATCCTGATCCTATTTTCATGTAGATCTATTTTAAATTACATACAAGAGTTTTTTTTTTTTTTTTTTTTTTTTTTTGATAAATTATGTAAATACACAAGATATTTTAATATAAGAAAATTACTTATTTTAATATCCCAAAGAACCAAATGTATTTGAACTACCATATCTATATTGGATTCCGAAACTTCATAAAAAATCATTACAAACAATTAGATACCTAACGGGTTCCAGTAAATGTTCAACCAATCCTATTTCTTTACTCCTCACTAAGCTATTTACAGTAGTGAAGAGAAACTTCAAGAGTACTGTGGAACAATATATTCAAGAAGTGGTGTAAATCAGATGTGGATACTTAAAATTCCAGGGAACTTTTGGACAATTTGAAATCATAAGATTTTACAAAAAACCAACAGCTTAAAAACTTACGACTTTTCAACTCTATACTCAACCATTCCCCACGATAAATTAAAGTCTAGGCTTTTTGATATCATTAACAGCTGCTTTTACAATAAATATGGAACTCGTAAATTTACTTACCTTGTCATTGGTCATTTGCAAAATTATTTTGTTAAAAACATTCTGATTGTACACACAAGTACTCTGAAGTTGACATGAAAAAGATGCTTGAGTGTATGATTGACAATATATATGTTGTTTTTGAGGACCAGGTCTTTCAACAATCTATCGGAAATCCCATAGGTACCAATTGCGCCCCCTTATTAGCAGACCTATTTTGTATTCATATGAGGCAGATTTGTCCAAAATCTTATGCGTAAAAAGAAGAAAACACTTGCTTTGGCATTCAACCTGACATTTAGATATATCGACGACGTATTGTCAATTAACAATGGCAATTTCCATTCTCATGTCGATATGATATATCCTGATGAGCTTGAGATAATAGATTCCACTTAGTCTGACACATCTGTTTCATATTTAGATATTTTACTTAAGAAAGACGTTAATGGTAATATTGGTAATCCAACAACCAAACTCAAGATAAAAAAATGACTTTAACTTTTCAATCGTCAACATCCTTTACTTATGCACTCAATATACCTTCATCACCTGCATATGGAGTTAATATATCTCTATTGATTCGATACGCAAGAGCATGCTTTACGTATGAACACTTTCTAAAACGAGGTAGATTGTTGACAAGCAAGTTGATAAAACAAGAACATCAGTAGTCTCGTTTAAATCATCATTTCGAAAGATCTATGGTCGATACAATGACCTTGTTTACAAATACAATTTATCATAGAGTCAAATGCTGAATGACGTTTTTCATACTTACAGTGCATAAATAATGATAATGCTGACAAATCATTGTATCGACTTAAAAAAATTGCGAAATGACATCAAACGAATAGTTGTTGATATCCTTATTTCTTCAATTGATTGTCAATAGCTTGCTTCATTTTGAAATTGTCTATACGTACAGCATTCTCTTGAGTTTCGATTCAACTGAAAACATTA